CTGGAACTATTTGAACATCAAAATAAATAACAATATAACTGGTATTGAATTATAGCCCCAGCAATAAAATAAGTATTCATGACACATACTAATATGACAGTGTTATAAATAATAAGTAAATTATTTAATAAATAAATAAAAGCAGAAGGGACAATTATTTCCTAAAGAATTATAATTAGTAAGTGTAGAAGGAATTAGGGAAAGGAACTCACTATTAGGACACTGCAGTAATCGCTGCTGCAGTCAGGATCTACTAATGAATACAATTTAAGTAAGTGGGTGAAAGTTTAAGGAGAAACAGAATATGTATAGTCTCGATGTATTTCCTAAAATATTGATTACAGAGGGAAAAATAGTAACTTTATAATGGGGCAGCCCACAGGCACCATCTTAATTAGGCAATTAAGGTTAACCCCACCAGTAATTAGACATAATACCATGCACCCCCTGATGTTATGCACAGAGAAGAGCACTTCACCTCTGTGATGTTCTTGCAAAAATTCACGATCTCAGTCTAATCATGAGAAAATGTCAGCCAAACCCAAACTGAGGGACCGTCTACAATATACCTGACCTGTGCTGTTTGTTGTCATGGAAGGAAAGACTGAGGAACTGTTAGAAATCGGAGAAGACATGATAACTAAATGCATTGTGAAACTCTGAACTGAAAAAGGACATTAGTAAGAGAAATTGGTGAAATCCATGATTGTTGATAGTATTGAATCAATGCTACTTTCTTAGTTTTGATAATTGAACTACTATAGTTATGTAAAATGTTAGCATTAAGGGAAGCTGGTCAAAGGGCATAGGGAATTCTCTTTCAGCTCATTCTGTGAGTCTAAAAGTATTTCAAAATTAAAAGTTAAATAATACCAAAGTGAGCCCTGGCTGGTGTAGCTAGCTCAGTGGATTGAGCACAGGCCTGCAAACCAAAAGATCGAGGTTTGATTCCCCGTCAGGGCACATGCCTGGGTTGCAGGTCAGTTCCCAGCAAGGGACCAGTTCCCAGCAGGGGATGGACCAGAAGTAACCATACATTAATATTTCTCTCCTTCTCTCCTTCCCTTCCCTTCTAAAGATAAATAAATAAAATTTAAAAAAATACCAAAGTGAGTTCAACATTACGTGACATAAGTTTTATGACAAAGAAACAGGAAACAAAACGCCTGAGGCACATAGCAGCCATCCTCACAGGTGTTAACTTGCAGATCAGAGCATTGCAGAAGAAATTGAACTGGAAGGATGTTCCTTCCCAGCAAGGCCAGGCTGAGCCTGGGCCTAGCATGAAGAAGAGCGATTGCACAAGTGGTCGTTTTCATAATACCTTCCAAAAATCAGGTGAAAATGTAGTGTCTTTCACCATCCTTGGCTGTGGTTAGGCTCTCTTTGGTGTTTGTACCGTGCTTGTTAATATGCACACACTCACATGTTTAATGAAAGGATGCAGTGGTTTTAGTTGGTCGGATAAGAGATTAATGCATTCCACTTGAGTTAATGGTGATAAGAAATAAGTCCTTCCTAGCTATGCCATTTTCATATTTCTTCCCTCTTGCTCATCCTCCATTTTACTGTATGCTTTTAGGCAGAAAGCTGCAGATCGAATGAAGCAAATAATCCAGATTCCTGTGAAGAAATAAAAAGAATTTAAGTGCTTTTCCTGACACTTCTTAAACCTGACCATTATTAACTTGCTCAAAAACAGCTATATATCTCTGTGCCAGGGAAGGACATAAGGGTGATGGGTAACAGTGAGGGCTTGGTTTCTGTTCCAGTCCTGCAGCTTAGCATAGCCTCTGGCAAGGTCCTTAACTTTCTGCCCTCAATTTCTTCTAAAATAAAGACACCAAATAGAGTTATTAGGAAGAAATCATCTTTAGAGAGCTCAAGTAAGTTTCTGACACATAGGAAGCACTTTTAAACAAGGCAGTGACAACATATTCATTCAGCAAACCTTTATTGAACGGCTGTTGTCCACAGAGAGTGAGCTAAGTGCTGGGAGTTCAGATATATATCATTTCCCCTCTCTGCTTTCAAGGAGTTTAGTCTGATGGAGGAGGCAGATAAGTAAAACAAAAAGAGGAAGAATTACTGTTCTTCTATTGAATAGCTCAAGCATTGTCTATTATCTACTTATAGGAAGTGGCATAATATACAGTCAGTTACAGTGATTTATGAAACATAGGTATTATCCCCATTTTGCAAATGAGGAAACCAAGACTTCAATGAGTTAAATAATTTATCCAAGATCACACAGCTAAGTGGAAAACCCAGGATTTTATTCCAAATCTGCCTGACTCCAGAGTCTTTCTTAAATGTTATATCAGATGATTGATTACAACAATATTAAGTGCTTTGGCAAGGTTATAGGAGATATCTGCATATATGCCTTTAATAATAGCCCTTATGAACCTGATTATCTTTTGGTGTTTTATTGTTTTTATAGGCTCAAGTTTCTATTTTCATTAGTTATTTACAGGAAATAGAAGTAAACATCTAAAATGGCCCTGGCTGGTGTGGCTCAGTGGATTGAGTACTGTTCTGTGAACCAAAGGGTCACTGGTTTGATTCTCAGTCTAGGACACGTGCCTGGGTTTTGGGCCAGGTTCCCAGTAGGGGGCACATGAGAGGCAACCACACACTGATGAGAAAAAAAAAAGAAGTAAATATCTGCTTAGTATCACTTCTTACAAGTTAACAGGACACTTTCTTCATGTAAAGCCAAGGTTGAGACTGGGATGCCATAGGCACGTGACGCTTTCCTCACTCTTGTTCTCTTCATGCGTATGAAATGTACCAGTGAGCAAGCCTGGGCAATAAAGAGGCCAGGCTGCCTTCCTGACGGGCCTGTTCCGGTCATTCCCTTGAGTTCATTCCAACAGAGTTCAGGGACATTCAGAGTGAAGGGGTTCCATAATGGCTCCTAGAGATGTTAAAACTACAGTGCAGTTTGGAGCGTATCCTCAACTTACTTACATGTACTCATCCTGTGATTATGATTTAAAGTACTGCAATTATTGGACCTATTTCAGGATCTCCAAACATACATCATAGCTTCTTGTGCTTTTCTGTGCAAGTGGAGTTAACATTTTCCTCTTTAAATGTTATTTGAACATCTAGTTCTTGACTCATTTGAGAACATAGATTTTCTAGAAAATTAGAAACATATCAATATGTACATATGATGTATCATGAATGGTTACTCGTAGAGGTGGAATTGAGAAGATAAAACCTCTCCGATAGTGCCTTGGGGAATCAGAGTGTAGGACTGAACCGCAGTCACACAGTAAGGGAAGAAACTCATTGCCTCGTAATGCCGGATGCCCAGGACAGGCCGAAGTGTTGTTGCACCAGCTTCAGAGTGTGCCCAGGGCTTTCCCCACATGTACCCTCTTTTCTCTTTGGAACCCTTAAACTTTCCTATACTTTTTCTACTCTTCTTGTACATTTTCTCAGGAACTTTGTCTTTGAAAGACAATGGTTGGTATTGATGCTTCACAGAAACTGAAGGGAGCTGACATTTCTCATATGTTCCAGGAATTTTACATGCTTAATCTCATTTCATCCTCACAGCATTCTAACTGGCTAGGTGGATTATCCCCACATTTATAGATACAGAAACCACTGTTCAGGGAAGTAAAAGAATTTACCTAGAAGACCTAAAGCTAGGAAGTGGCAAAATGGGAGGTGAGCTCTAGTTCTCCCTAACTTCATGGTTTGTACTCTGCCATGAAGCTGTAGTGTTGGAGATTGTGGCTATTGTCACTGTTACTACTGCTTGCCACCAGCTCGTCCATCAACTAGCTGAGAGAATGCTTCAGCCTAAGGTACTCACTGGACTGTCCAAAGTCTCAAGGTTGTAAAGAGACTGTGAGTTTATGTTAACTCATTGGATTCCCAGAACAACCTGCTAGCTGCATACATTTATTATTTCAGCTTTACAGTTGGGGAAACTGAGGCTCACAAAGACTGATCCAGAGTCACTCAGCTAGTCAGTCTGGCCCTGGAGACTCGATTCAGTTCCTTGGGGACACCTCTTAAAAGCTCACTATCCAGTCAAAGCTGTGCACTAGCTGGGTACAGAGCCAAGTCCTGTCAGTAAGGGAGTGTTCTCCAATGAAGAGTGTGTTATAACAGAATCAGTGTGGCTGTAACTGACAAAATAATAGGGATTTGTTTCTTCAGTAAGAACATGAGACTATGTGAAGACTTAGCATTTATACCAAAAGGCCACTGAATTCTGTAATTTTCATTCATATTGAAGGTGTCTGAGTATAGTATTTTCAGAGTGCATCCCGTGTATTGAAGCTGTAGATTCAGTACTACTAATAGGAGAAGGCCATTAGCTGTTCTGAAATATAAGCCACTGCATTCCATAAATGAGTAAATACTAGTGATAGGTGGCCTGTGACTGGGCCATATGGCCACTACATGTTAATGAGCTATTTAGATAGGTATCTGCCTAAATCAGGAATGGATGGGCCAACACTTAGCAAGCTGTTACTTAGGAAACACTGTCCTGAGTTGCCTTAAAAGGTTATCTATTTTGCTACTGTGTGATAAGGGCTATGTTGAGGTAAATATCTTAAGAGTTTTACTCCTCTGGTTCTTTTCTTATAGACCATATAAGACAAATAACTTAATCATAGAGTAATTAAAATTCTAAGATTATCAAATACAAGTTGGTTGTCCACACCAGTGGATTTTCTTTCAGCCTTAAGAAGACATTATTTAGTCTCTTTCTAATCTCTTGCTCATTCTCTATGAGAAGAAAATGATTCATTTGTACATTCATTCAAGAAATAGTTTTGAATGCTTAAATTACTATCTGCTAGTCGTTGTGCTAAGTGCTAGGGAAACATCACAACATAGTTGTTATCCCATTGCTCACAAAGGAAATAGTAGTAACATTACTAACATAGCATATTATAAAATTTGTTACAGAGAAATGCAGCATAGTTTGAGACCATACATGAAAGTAACATTTATTTCCATTCCAATAGATTTTGGCTTTGGAAATTTCTTTAAGAGTGGTGAACTGCTGGCAACCTGGTGTGGCAGCCCCCCTTACGCAGCCCCAGAAGTTTTTGAAGGGCAGCAGTATGAAGGACCACAGCTGGATATTTGGGTATTTCTTTGCTTTGCTGTGTTAAATGCATCTATAATGATAATATTTGGTACTCTGGCCCACCATTGAAGCTCTTGGTATCTAACACACAGGTAGTAGTTCATACCTTTCCTGTCCACTGGATTATAATTAAATTCAGATCTTCTGATATTTATTGTAAGATACTCTATTGTAGTAACCAGAGTTTCATTTTTTTGCAAATTCTAGAAAACAGTAGATTCAAACAGAAATTTTTCAATCTGTAGCATTTTAAGAGCCCTGGGGATATCTAGGAAAACAAAGTGTTTGAAGTCCTTGCTAAAAAAATGACCCACTTGTTTCCTTCCCCAGAGCATGGGAGTCGTTCTTTATGTCCTTGTCTGTGGGGCTCTGCCTTTTGATGGACCAACTCTTCCTATTTTGAGGCAAAGGGTTTTGGAAGGAAGATTCCGGATTCCATATTTCATGTCAGAAGGTAACAACCTGTTCATCTTACTGATTGTGCTATACAGAATTTGTGCTCCAAATGAAATGCCTAGGCAAAGGTTCCCTGTTTCTGAGAGTTTGGGTGCTAAGTATAGTGACTGAGATACTTTAAAAGCCATAGAAGTAAAGAGCCCCCTCCATGTAGGTGAGAAAAGTTCCAGCCTCCCTGACTGGAAACAGAAAGCTCCCCAGATTAAGAACCGCAAGTCTTCCCATTTACTCGTAGTCTATAAATGTCCCAGGCTTATTTTAGACTTAGAGGAGCTCTTTGTACATACAGGTTCACAACCATTTTGCTCTAAGTTTGAAATGGATTTTCCCATATCTTTTGGCAGGAAGTTACAAATTAAAATTTGTTAATTAAATTTAAAAACCAACCGGCAAAACTGTTGAATTCAGATGAACTGCCATAAACCCTACTAATCTTATATTGGGTTATAACATAGGCAGCAGTTAGGTTTACCCCTTAGATTAGTTTTTGGTTATCATTCTTAACTCTTTGTTCCTACTAGCAGTAGAAATAAGACTCCAGTAGTTAAGAGTGCAGACTCTGGAGCCAGACTGCCAGGTTTAAGTCCTGAGTTCACCATTTAACTGGTGGTCTGACATTGGCAAGTTATATATTTCCTCTCTGTGCTTCAGTTTTCCCAGTCTATAGAATAGAAGTAACCATGGTTCCTAATAGGGGTGCTGTGGGGATTAATTAAACTAATCTCTATAAAAGCACTTAACATGGTGCCTGGCACGTACCAAATGACCTAAGGTTAGCTTATGCAGTGTAAAGAACTTGATGTGAGCTCAGTGGATAAGCTAGTGCCCAGAGTTGCAGCAGGGCAGTTTTCTTAGTGTAATCAGAAGTAAATAATGTTCCACGAACATTTTCCTCAGTTGCACTGATAAGGAGAAAGCAGCAGTCCACTGGAGAGCTCTTGCCTCACTTACATAGCCTTAGTATATCAGCTTTAGACATAACTGAGGATCCATTTATTATTTGCTTATTCTAGGAAGAAGGCATTTTTTTTTCAATGGAAATCTAAGTCTCTGTCTAGATATTTTCAGTTGACAAATTCAGTAGAAAGGTTCATTTAGCACAGGTTGGAGAGACCTCCAGCCTCCTGTTTTTTTTTTTAAGTATTCATTCACGGTGATGGTTAATTTTGTGCATCAAAATTGACCATGTGGACTTGACAAATATTAAGTAACCTTCATATAATCATTTATTCATTTGACCTTCTGCTTTCCAGTGGGCATTATGGAGGATACAAAGATTAATGCCATTGTGCAAAATCACATGAATGAAGCAAACACCCTGAAGTGCAAGGTGATTCACACGGCTTCTGTAACATTGTGTTTTCCATAGATTGTGAGCACCTTATTCGAAGGATGTTGGTCTTAGACCCGTCCAAACGGCTAACCATAGCGCAAATCAAGGAGCATAAATGGATGCTCATAGAAGTTCCTGTACAGAGACCTGTTCTCTATTCACAAGGGCAAGAAAATGAGCCATCCATTGGGGAGTTTAATGAACAGGTTCTGCGACTGATGCACAGCCTTGGAATAGATCAACAGAAAACGATTGAGGTAAAGTGACCAGATATTTGACTGAAAATATTTTAGGATTCTGTTGTGCTCTGTAACTTGGAATTTCATGCTTATGACACCTGTCATCTGGTCTTTAGCATGGCCGTCTTCAGCACCTAGGCATCCTGTTCAGTTGTCCACAAAGAGTACATCAGACTCTTTTTTTGGTTTTGCTTTTGTACAATGTATAAATTTCTGCCTTTGGCCCCTTTGCCAGAAAATTCAAGAGGAAGTGTTTATATAGGACTGAGAAAAGACAAAGATGAAAGCTTGACAAATACAAAGTAGCAAGTTTCTTCTAAAATGAAATATAAAGTTTCATATAGATAATAAATTAGATTATACAGAACATAAATATGCAGCTACAGAAAAAGGCTGAGGGCTGAGCAGAAAACAAGAATGGTAGAAAAGCCTGTTGGGTTTAGCTTGTGAATTGGAAAAGCTGAAGAGGCAGAAATAGGTAGATTCCTCATATGGAAGCATTGTGGCCACAGAACTGAGAAGGTCTCGAACCTGAGAAATTTCTCATCGCTTTTATTTCTTTCTTTAATAATTAGCATACTAACAAAATATACATATTTTAATACCTCCATAATAGTAAAGAAATAAAAATAAAAAACAGTACTTTTAAGGAGGAGCCATAACAAGAAAATATTAAATGTTCCCTTGTGAATATTAAGTGCTCCAAACTGTGCTGTCTTTTCCTTCCTTGTAGCTGTAAGTGAAACAAGATTGGCTTTCCGCTTTGCTCATCATACACCCAGTGATGTTTTTCTGCCCTTGTCCATGAAGTACACGCAGAGTAGCAGCTGTGAGCGCAGGCCCTCTGGGCTGGGATTTTTGCTGAGAGTGCTCTGCCTCCGAGCTACACTGCATGGCATGCATGCAGCCTGTCAGGTGGAAGTAGAAGCCAAAGAAGCATTTGTTTCCCTGTTTCGTTAGTACCATGGGAAATCTGGCCAATGAGAGGTGTGAAAAATTGGGAGGCAACTTTATTTTCAAGGTTGCTAGAGGGCAGGACTGCAAAAACAAGAGGAAAAAATTACCTAAGAACAGAGACACAGTGTCTCTCAATCTAGCATCCAAGTGTCATTCTCCAGCCCAAAATAATCACAGAAAGTTCCCCAAAGACCTTAATCACTCACTTCAGAGTCTGCAGCGGTTTGGACTTGTGTCGAAGCTGTGGAATCAGAGCCTCTGAGCCCAGGTTGCCAGCCGACCTCACTACCCCTTAGTTACAACTATGAGATGGGACCATATGACAGCATTGGGGAATGTCTGCATGAGATAGTGATGGCATTTGCTCTGAATGCAGAAAAATAAATGGATCTTATTAATGTCCAAGGGCCAGTCAAGTCAGTTAAAGGTATCATGCTCTGTATAATTAACACCAGAAACTTGAAATGATCTGTCATTCTAAACTCTGGAGCAGCCTTCGTTTTGAGACATACTTTGTTACTCTATTTTTAAGAACACGTGATTTCTTCCATCTTTTTTTAGAAAGGTATAGATCATTGGATTGGTTTTTATAATTCTTGGCCTGTAGCACTTGTTTTCTCTTTTCAGTCTTTGCAGAACAAGAGCTACAATCACTTCGCTGCCATTTATTACTTGTTGGTGGAACGCCTGAAATCACACAGGAGCAGTTTTCCTGTGGAGCAGAGGCTCGATGCCCGCCAGCGGCGGCCCAGCACCATTGCTGAACAAACAGTTGCCAAGGTAACACCCCATTAGCCAATAGTCTTATCTGTGCATGTGCCTATTCACATGTGGTTGACACATTTTTCATCTTGTAGTACAAAGGGTTAGGATTTCAACCTCTGTGCTCTGCTTTTCCCTCAAGTTTCCACCTGTCATTCACTAGATTTTTCAAATGTTTTAGCTCCTTCCTATTTTTTTACAATTATAGTTGACATACAATATTATATTAGTTTCAGGTGTACAACCCATGATTAGACATTGTATAACTTACAGAGGATCACCCCGATAAATCTACTACCAACCTGACACCATACATAGTTATTATAGTATTAGTGAGTGTATTCCCTACGCTGTACTTTACATCCCCATGACTCCTGTAACAACCAGTATGTACTTCTAAATCCTTTCACCCCTACCTACCCCCTTCCCATGTAGAAATGATCACAATGTTCTCTATATCTATGGGCCTGTTTCTGTTCTGCTTGTTCATTTATTTTGTTTTTTAGATTTCACATATAAGTAATGCATACGGCATATTTCTTTCTCTGATTTATTTCACTCAGCGCAATACCCTCTGGGTTCATCCATGTTGCAGATGGCAAGATTTTATTTGTTGTTGTTTTAATTTTTCAATTACAGTTTATATTCAGTATTACTTTGTATCAGTTTCAGGTGTACAGTGTAGTGGTTAGACAATCACACACTTTACAAAGTGCGCCCCCTGATATTTCCAGTGCCGTCTGGCACCATACATAGTTGTAACATATTATTTACTATATTTCCTGTGCTGTACTTTATATCCCCATTACTGTATTTTAACTACAGATTTGTACTTCTTAATCCCTTCATCTTTTTCCCCCAATCCCTCTACCCTTTGGCAACCATTAGTCTGCTCTCGATATCTCTGAATCTGTTTCAGTTTTGTTTGTTCGTTCATTTATTTTGTTCTTAGGTTCCACCTATAACCGAAATCATTTGGTATTTGTCTTTCTCTGACTTACTTATTTTACTTAGCACGATGCCAAAAAGTTGGTCAATCCATACTATCGTAAATGGTAAGATTTTATTCCTTTTTATGGCCATGTAATATTCCATTGTATATAGGTACCACCACTTTTTTATCCACTCATCTATGGGCACTTGGGTTGCTTCCATAGTTTGGCTATTGTAAATAATGCTAAAATGAATATATGGGTGCATATATTCTTTTGAATTAGTGTTTTGGGTTTCTTCATGTATATACCCAGAAGTGGAATTGCTGGGTCATACAGTAGATCCTTTTTCAATTTTTTTGAAGAACCTCCATGCTGTTTTCCACCAATCTGCATTTTCTATCAGCAGTGCACGAGTCTTTGTTTTTCTCCACCTCCTTGCCAACACTTGTTGTTTATTAATGACAGGTGTGAGGAGATACCTCATTGTGGTTTAATTCACATTTCTCTAATGATAAGTAATGTTGAGCATTTTTTCATATGTCTGTTGACCATCTGTCCTCTTTGGAGCAATGTCTGTTCAGAACCTCTGCCCATTTTTAATTGGATATTTGGGGCTTTTTTTTTTTGGTGTCAGGTTGTATGAGTTCTTTCTAAATTTTGGATATTAACCCCTTGTCAGATGTATGATTGGCAAATATCATCTCCTATTCAGTGGGTTGTCTTTTTATGTTGTGGATGGTTTCCTTTACTGTAAAATAACTTTTTATTTTGGTGTAGTCCCATTTGCTTATTTTTGTGTGTGTGTGTTTTCTTTGCCTGAGGAGATATATCAGAAAAAAAATATTGCTAAGAGTAATGCCTGATTGAAGAGTTTTATGGTTGTGAGTCTTTAATTCATTTTGAGTTTATTCTTATATATGGTGTAAGAAGGTGCTCATTTCATTTTTTTGCATATATCTGTCCAATTTTCCCAACACCAGTTATTGAAAAGAGTATCTTTACCTCCCTGTATGTTCTTGCCTCCTCTGTCATGTATTAATTGACCATACAGGTGTGGGTTTATTTCTGGGTGCTCTGTTCTGCTCCAATGATCTGTACATTTGTTTTTATGCCACCACCATGCTGTTTTGATTATTAAAATAGTTTGATGTGAGGTAGCATGAGAACTCCAATTTTGTTCTTCTTTTTCAAGATTGCTGTGGCTATTTAAAGTCTTTTATGGTTGCATATAAAGTTTTGGATTATTTGTTCCAGCTCTGTGGAAAACACCATTGGTATTTTGATAGGAATTGCGCTGAATCTATAGATTACTTTGGGTAATGTGGACATTATAATGATGTTAACTCTTCCTATCCATGAGCATAGTGTACACTTCTATTTATTTGTATCTTCAGCTTCTTCCTCAAGTGTCTTATAATTTTCTAAGCACAGGTCTTTTACCTTTTAGTTAAATTTATTTCTAGGTTGTTGGGGGGTTTTTAATGCAATTATAAATGGGGTTGTTTTCTTAGTTTCCACCTGTGATAGGCCACTGTTGGTTTATAAAAATGTGACTGATTTCTGAATATTTATTTGATATCCTGCTACTTTAATGAACTCATTTATCAATTCTAGTAGTTTTTGGTGGAATCTTTAGGGTTCTCTATATACAGTGTCATGCCATCTACAAATAATGACAATTTTACTTCTTACTTTTTAGTTTGGATGCTTTTTATTTCTTTCTCTTCTGTGAATGCTGTGGGTAGAGCTTTCAGAACTACTTGAATAGGAGTGGTGAAAGTGGGCAGCCTGCCTTATTCTTGACCTTAATGGAAACACTTTAGTTTTTCTTCATTGAGTATGATATTAGCTGTGGGTTTGTCATATGTGGCCCTTACTATGTTGGGGTATGTTCCCTCTATTCCCTTTCACTTTGCTGAGAGTATTTATGTTGTTTATGCGGTAGATCACATTAATTTGTGAATATTGTACCAGCCTTGCATCCCAGGGATAAATCCCACTGGATTGTACTGTATGATCTTGTTAATGTATTTCTGAAATCAGTTTGCTAATATTTTGTTGAGGATTTTTACATCTGTGTTCATCAGGGATATTAGCCTATAATTTTCTTTTTCAATAGTGTCTTTGTCTGGTTTTGGAATTAGGATAATGCTGGCCATGTAAAAAGTTCTTGGGCATCTTTCCTCCTCCTGAATTTTTTGGAAGAGTGGGTGTTAGTTCTTCTTTGAATGTTTGGTACAATTCACCTCTGAAGCCAACTCGTCCTGGACTTTTGTTTACTGGGAGATTTTGATTACTGCTTCAATTTCATTAGTGTTCCAGTGTTCTGATTCTTCCTGATTCAGTTTGGGAAGACTGTATGTTTCTGGGAATTTATCCATTCCACCCACGTTGTCCAATTTGCTGGCATATAGTGGTGTATAATAATTTTGTTACAGTCTATTGTGTCTCTGTGATCTCAGTTGTTATTTCTCATCTTTCATTTCTAATTTTATTCCCTTTTTTTCTTGATGAGTCTGGTTAAAGGTTTGTCAATCTTATTTATCCAAAAAACAAGCTCTTGGTTTCATCGATCTTTTGTATTGTTTCTTTTCAGTCTCTATGTCATGTATTTGCAGTCCAATCTTTACTGTTTCCTTTTCCTACTCAGTTTGGGCTTTGTTCTTCTTTAAGTTCCATTAAGTGTAAGGTTAGAATGTTTATTTGAAATTTTTTTTGTTTCTTGAACTAGGCCTAAATTTGCTATGAATTTTTAAATTGCTGTGAATTTTCCTGTTAGGACGGCTTTTGCTGTATCCTGGAGATTTTAGGATGCTGTGTTTCCATTTCCGTTTGCCTCAAATGGAGGCAAAGGGAAGCCCTTGATTTCACTGTTAACAAATTCATTGTTTAGTAACATGTTATTTTGCCTCCATGTGTTTGTGTATGTTTCAGGGTGGTTTTTTGCTGTTGTTTGTTTGTTTGTTTGTTTTTTGGTAAGTAATTTCTAGTTTCACACCATTGTGGTTGGAGAAGATGCTTGTTTTGATATCAGTCTTCTTAAATTTACTGAGACTTGTTTTGTGTCCTAACGTGTGGTCATTCCTAGAAAATGTCCCATGTGCACTTGAAAAGAATATATATTCTGCTGCTTTGGAGTGAAATGCTCTGAGAATATCAAATCTGTCTGGTCTGATGTGTCATTTAAGGCCACTGTTTCTTTGTTGATTTTCTGTCTGGAAGATCTCTCCATTGGTATCAGTTGGGTTGTTAAGAGTTTTCAACTATCACTCTATTGGACTGTATCTCTGTTGATTTTTCCCTTTATGCCCATCAAGATATGCTTTATATATTTAGGTGCTCTTATGTTGGGTACATACATGTTTACAAGGGTTATATCCTCTTGTTGGATTGATTTTTTATCATTATGTAATGTCCATTTTGTCTTTTTTTAATAGATAGCCTTTATTTTAAAGTCTATTTTTTTCTGAGATAAGTATTGCAACCCCAGCTTTTTTGTTTTTATTTGTGTGAAATATCTTTTTCATCCATTCACTTTTAGTCTGTGTGTCTTTCACACTTGTACACAGCATCTATATGGCTCTTTTTTTCTTACCCATTCAGCTACCCTATTTTTTAAAGATTTTATTTATTTCTTTTTAGAGAGAGGGAAAAGGAGGAAGAAAGAAAGGGAGACAAACATCAATGTGTGGTTGCCTCTCGTAAGCCCCCAACTGGGGACCTGGCCCATGACCCTTTCGTTCACAGGCCAGCACTCTATCCACTGATCCACAGCAGCCAGGGCTACTGCCCTGTGTTTTTTTAATGGAGCATTTAAGCCATGGAGAGGGGCAAAGCGGGGAAAACTGGGACAATTGCAATAGCATAATCAATAAAATATATTTTAAAATGAAAATTTTAAAAGTGACAAAAAATAAAGTGATTATTGAAAGATATGTATTTATTGCCATTTTATTCTTTATAATTATGTCCCCCTTTTTTTCCTGTTTTTTTCCTAAGAAAGTCACTTTAACATTTATTTTAATATTGGTTTGGTGGTAATAAACTTCTATAACTTTTCTTACCCGGGACACTCTATTTCCCCTTCGGTTTTAAATGATAGCCTTGGTGGGTATAGTAAGTCTTGGTTGTAGGTCCTTGCTTTTCCTTACCTGAATATTTCATGTCAATTCCTTCTGGCCTGAAATATTTCTTTTCTGTTGAGAAATCAGCTGACAGCCTTATGGGAGCTCCCTTGTAGGTAATTGTCTTTCTCTTGCTACTTTTAAGATTCTCTCTTTGTCTTTAACCTTTCCCATTTTAATTATGATGTGTTTTGATGTGGGCCTCTGGGTTTATCTTGTTTGGGACTCTCTGCTTCCAGGACTTGTGTGTGTGTGTGTGTGTGTGTGTGTGTGTGTGTGTGTGTGTGTGTGTGTGTGTTTAATATAATATTGTTTATTTAACTTTAAAAACATTTCAGCATTCTAAACATATAAAAAACAACAAAACATTTCAAATTGTGCTTAATAGAAAAGGTTCTTGAACTTGCATTGACACAGCAACTCTTCACTTTGCTGACAATGAAAAGTTCTGCAGTTAAAAACACAGAGTTTAAAAGTACTGCACTTAAGATCGAAACAATTTCTGTGCCAGCTAATCCCCCTGCTTTTCCACTGACTTGAAAGAAATACTTGAAAGGAAAAAAAGTTAGCCTGGCTAGTATAGCTCAGTGGATTGCGCGCAGGCCTGCGAACCAGAGGGTCACAGGTTTGATTCGCGCAGGCCTGCGAACCAGAGGGTCACAGGTTTGATTCCCAGTCGGGATGCTTGCCTGGGTTGCAGGCCAGATCCCCAGTGGGGCCATGTGAGAGGCAACCACACATCCATGTTTCTCTCCCTCTCTTTCTCCCTCCCTTCCCCTCTCTAAAAATAAATAAAAATTTTAAAGAAAAAAAAAAGTTATATAGTCTCAACTGTGGCCCAAGATATAAGCCTGCTAAATGATGATATAAGAAAAGCTATTTCTTTATTATACTCAGAATAGTGTGCAATGTATTTATTTCTGTTTTTATCATCCATGTAATAATCCAATACTTAGCTATTGCTATTTTATTCTTTATCTTATGCATTATACACAATGATATTGGAATACCAAATGTCAGGTATATTCTAAATATATTCAAAGTATATTCAACTACAAGTGTATTTCTGACATATCTCCCCCTTGTGGAAAACCCTCAACCTGAAATTTTGACTGGGAATCATTAGCCAGCATCTGAGAACAAAAGTGTGTATTCACTTTGCAGTCTAATTCCTATGTTAAATTCTTGTGATCATTTTAAGACTTTAGAAAGGAAAAAAAGAAGGAATTAACATTACTGAGTGAAGTATTTTACATGTTACCTTTTACACTTAAGTTGACTGTGAAATAGGTACAGTGCCCTTTTTTAGGGATGGAGAAAAGATTCAGAGGGGTTAAGTAACCTAATGAAATTTGCACAGTTATTAAGTGATAGAGTCAGGAATTAAACCCAGGTGTTGGGAGAGGAGAAGCTATCATCATACAATTTGTTCCTTTTCCATTTGTTTGAACTTAAAATTTGCCACCTTATACACATTGAAGTGATTATGGCAGAAAAAATATAGACCATTCCTCTGCCTCTTAGAAACTAGAATGATGGTTGTACCTCAGATGTTTTACAATGTCTGTTGTGTGCAAAATGCATCTAATAAATTATTCTGCTGGTTTTGAAAGGATGGGGGGGGAAGGATTACCTAACAAACTCATCTTTAAAATCAATCCTTGCCCACTGTCAGAAAGGAAGATTCTTTTTTAAATGATATTTTTTAAAAAAGAAGAGTTTGTAATGCTTGTTCACTTAGCATTCTTAACAAAGGAGATACGAAGAATGGGCTTAACACCATCAGGAGCTTTCTGTAGTAGGTTGACTTCAGGAACATTAAGTTGCTCCTCAGTAAGCATCTCTCTTTCCACTGGCCAGCAAGCTGTGTTCAGGCTGTGTGTTTCCTTGAAAGAAGGGCATTCTTGTCACCTCCAAGTAGCTGCTGCTGCTTTTTTCTTCCTCTTCACACAAACTCCTGCCTAGAAATATGTACCATCTTACCCACCCACCCCTCACACAATGACAAACAGATAGGATGGATGGATGGATAGATGGATGGTTGGATGGATGGATGGATGGATGGTTGGATGGATGGATGGATGGATGGATGGATAGATAGATAGATGATAGATAGATAGATAGATAGATAGATAGATAGATAGATAGCACCGGCTGCAGTGTACTTTGTTATAGTTAGTTGTGGGTGTGTGTATCTATCCCTGGTTCAATTTTGAGCTCCTAGGTGCAGGGACTTTTCTTATATCTTTCCAGGGTAATCTATTTAAGATTGTAGACAATATAATCTTGTTGAATTGGAAAAATAAATAAATAACAGTCCTGACTGATGTCGCTTAATGGATTGAGTGCCAGCCTATAAACCAAAGAGTCACCAGTCTGATTCCCAGTCAGGGCACATGCCTGGTTGGGGGCCAAGTCTCCAGGATGGGGTGCGCAAGAGGCAACTACATATTGATGTTTCTCTGCCTCTCTTTATCCCTCCCTTTCCCACTGTCTAAAAAATAAAATAAATAAAATCTTTTTTTTTTTATTTTTTTTATTAGTAAAAAAACCCTGGCTGGTGAGTGCGGGCCTGTGAACCAAAGGATCATGGTTCAATTCCCAGTCAGGGTACATGCCTGGGTTGCAGGCCAGTTCCCAGCAGGGGATGCACAAGAAGCAACCATACATTGATATTTCTCTCCCTCTTTCCTTCTCTTCCCCTCTAAAGATAAATAAATAAAATCTTTATTTTAAAAAAGCACCCTGAGACTCCTTAAAAAGACCAGCTTTCTTGTCATCTCTGTGAATGCATGTTCCTCATTATGGAACAGGCACGGAATTCTCTACAACCTGCCTTAGATTGATTAGTTGCTGAACTGCTTCAAATCAATACCTGTGCCATGTATATATGTCATCAAATCTTTTCTGGAGTTTCCAATAACTCCAATTAAAGTTTCTCCTTTAATTGTACCAGGAAGAATTATTTTAATCCAAGAAATTTACATATTAATATAAAAATATTAATATTCTCAAATGCTCTGTTCTTGCCATATTTACAGGCACAAACTGTGGGTTTCCCAGTGACCACGCATTCACCGAACTTGCGCCTGATGCGATCTACCCTCCTCCCACAGGCATCCAATGTGGAGGCCTTTTCATTTCCAGCATCCAGCTGTCAGGGGGAAGCAGCATTTATGGAAGAAGAGTGTGTTGACACTCCAAAGGTACGAATGTGTTTGAGAGACTCTGAGCTCGTAGATTGGCTGGAGACTTCAGTTTGGTCCACAGATGCTGTACTTGGATTTTGTTGAATTTGGTCATTTCCTCAAGTCATTCAGGAGTGTAGTTTTTGTGCAGAAGAACCTGACAACAGTATTCAGGGCTAAACGTGACTCTCACCCCAGTCTTATCATCACAGCTGTTACCTAACTTGTCATGCCTTGTGTGCACTTTCAAAATCTTTCCTCTCTTTCCTTAACCAGGTCGTTCTCTCTTCAAGTTTCTTGATCCCACATAGGTTTTGGATATTTTTACACAAATTGTAATTCTGAAAACAAAAATATATATGGTGCTGAATTGGGCTTTGTCTGTTGATTGTGTTTTTCCACAGCATGTGCTGCCCCTACACAAGGACAAGCTGTCTTTTCGGTCAGTTAAACATCTTTTTTATCCCGTTTAGACCTGCTTACAGGAGATAAGTTTCTCCTGAGACACTACACAAAGGTGGCTTTTAGGAAGTGGAAGGTGACAGCTTCTCTCATTTAGTGGATATTTACTTCTAATATGTGTTTTATATACTTAGTCTCATGTGATGTACAAAGGCTCATAGAAATGGGCAGGTCTTGGAGTGTGTTCAAAGTAGACTTTGTTTGTTACTAGCTTGTGAACTTGGGCATGGTGACTCACTTCTTCGATCCTGTTTTCTTTTATATAATATGAGACTATTGTGAGGAGTAAGTAAGATGGTGTATGTGGAGTTCCAGCCAAATTTTAGGTACTTAGTAAATATTGGGTTCCTATCTTTTTAGACTGTTTAGGTTATAAAAATTTGAGTAGATGTGTATTCTGCCTCCAAGTTTATAATCTAGCAGAAAAGACATGATACATAACTAAAGACAGTGTACCAGGTACTGAATAAATTGATAAACTATAATTGGTCCTTTACTTTTTTTTACCCCTCCACCAGCTGCCTCCCCTTTGGCAACCATCATCTTGTTCTTTGTATCTGTGAGTTGGTTTTGTTTTGTTTTGTTTCTGAACTTTTGATTTTTACAGATTCCACATGTAAGTGAAATCATACCATATTTGTCTTTGTCTGACTTATTTCACTTAACATAATATCTTCTAGGTACATCCATGTTGCCACAAATAGGTAAGGTGTCATTCCTTTTATTGCTGAATAATATGTCATTGTCTATATATATAGCACATTCTCTTTATTCATTCATCTGTTGATGGACACATAGGGTGCTGCTATGCCCTGGCTATTGTAAATGCTGCAGTGAACATAGGGCTGTGTATATATTTTTTTTAATTAGGGTTTGGGGTTTCTTCAGATACACACCCAGAAGTGGTATTGCTGAATGAGATATGTCAGCTCTGTTTGTAATCTTTTGAGGAACGTCTATACTGTTTTCCATGGTGTCTCCATAGTTTATAATCCCACCAACAGTGCATGAGGGCTCCCTTTTCTCCACATCTTCACTAGCACTTGTTATTGCTTGACTTTTAATGATAGCCATTCTGACAGGTGTGAGGTAATATCTCACTATAGTTTTGATTTGCATTTTCCTGATGATTAGTGATGTTGGGCATATGTTTGTATATCTTTTGGCCATCTGTGTGTCCTCTTTGGAGAAGTGTCTCCTCAGGTCCTTTGCCCATTTTTTATTGGATTGTCTTATTTTTTCCCCCATTCAACTGTTTAAGTTCCTTCATGTTTTGAATAGTAGCTTCTTACCAGATGTACCATTGGCAAATATCCTTTCCCATTGAGTAGGTTGTCTTTTATTTTATTGTTAGTTTCTTTCACTGTGCAGAAACTTTTTTAAATCAATGTAGTCCCATTTCTTTATTTTTTGTTGTTGTTGTCCTTGCCTGAGGAGACATATCCAAAAAGATATTGCTGAGACCAATGTCAGAGAATTGACTGCCTATATTTTCTTCTAGTAGTTTTATGGTTTCAGATCTTACAGATCTTAAAGATTTAAAATCTTTAACCTGTTTTGAGTCTATATTTTTATCCAATGTAAGAAAGTGGTCCAGTTTCATTTTTTTATATATCTGTCCAGTTTTCCCAACACCACTATTGAAGAGATTGTCTTTATCCCATTGTGTATCCTTCCCTCCTTTTCATAGATTAATTGACTGTTAAGTCATTTTATTTACTTATTAGAGGATTTACTTCCAGGCTCTTGCTTCTGTTCCATTGATCTATATATGTCTTTGTGCCCATACCATACTGTTTTGATTATTGTAGATTTGTAATATTTTATAATCAGGGAGCATTATATGACCCACTTTGTTCTTTCTCAAGGTTTCTTTGGCTATATAGAGTCTTTTAGGATTAGCTATTCTAATTCTGAGAAGACCACTATTGGTGTTTGAATAGGGTTGGCATTTAATCTACATATTGCTTTAGGTAGTAAGGACATTTTAACAGTACTGATTCTTCTATTCCATGAGCATGGTATATGCTTCATTTATTTGTATTCTCTTCCATTTCTTCTTTTTTTTTTTTTCCAAAAAAAAATTTATTGGCTTTTAGAGAGAAAGTAAGTGGGCGAGAAAGAGACAGAGACATTGATTTGTTGTTCTACTTATTGATGCACTCATTGGTTGTTTTTGTGTGTGCCCTGGGGTATGGGATGATGCTCTAGTCACCTGAGCTACATGGCCAGAGCAGTTTCTGTCTTCAGTATCTTACAGTTTTCAGAGTACAGGTCTTGCACTTCTTTGATTAAATTTACTCCTAGGTATTTTAATGCTTTTTCATTTAATTATAAATGGAGTATTTTCTTAATTTCTCCTTCTAATCCTTCATTATTGGTTTATAGAATAATTGGCCCTTTAAAGAAATACAAATCAAAGTGCTACAAGACTAGAAGGAAACAGAGAGGAGTTGATTTTAGCTGGTTTGAACAGGAAAGTCTTTGGGTTAACCGTCAGAACTGGCCATTGAGAGGTGTGCACAGTCTGGGTGGATGGAGACTAGGGTGTGATACCTGAGTAAAGGGGAAATCCTGAGCAACAGCAGACATCAGGAAAGACTAGGTCCATCTAAGTCAGAGCAGTAGTTCAGTGTGCCTGAGGAAAGGGGCTGTGTAGGGGGTTGTATGAAATAAAGATGAGTAGTTTAGCTTTGAATGGCAAGCCGAGGGCTGCAGGTTTTTTCTGTAGGCTTGGATTCTCAGTGTAGGAATGTGTTCAGTATCACAAAGAGAGTTTTTTCAAATGGACTTTTTCAGAGCACTATGAAACAGTTGAAGTTTTTTTTTTCTTTTTTAAAGTATATTTTATTGATTATGTTGCTAACAGTTGCCCAATTTTATCTCCCTCTTATCCTCCCCCCACCAAGCTCCCCCCCTCCTACCATCATTCCCACCCTCCTTAGTTCATGTCCGTGGGTCATACACATCAGTTCTTTGGTTTCCCCATTTTCTATATTATGTTTATGCTGCCCCCTCTTTATTTTGTATCTACCACTTATGCTTTATTTTTTTTTAATTTTATCGATTATGCCATTACATTTGTTCTATTCCCCCTTTCATTTCCCTCCACCCTGCACACCCCTCCCCCACCATTCCCCCCCTTTAGTTCATGAACACGTGTCTCAAGTTCTTTAGATTCTATATTTCACATACTATCCTTACCCTCCCCCCTGTCCATTTTCTATCTACGGTCTATACTACTTATTTTCTGTACCTTCTCCCCCCTTCTCTTTCTCCCACTCCCCTGTTGCTAACCCTCCATGTGATCTTCATTTCTATGGTTCACTCCTGATCTAGCTGCCCTCTTAATTTGCTTTTGTTTAGGTGTGGTTGTTAATAACTGTGAGTTTGCTGTCCTTTCACTGTTCATCTTTTTTATCTTCTGTTTCTTAGGTAAGTCCCTTTAACATTTCATATAATAAGGGCTTGGTGATGATGAACTCCTTGAATTTGGTCTTATCTGAGAAGCACTTTATCTGTCCTTCCATTCTAAATGAAAGCTTTGCTGGATAGAGCAATCTTGGATGGAGGTCCTTGCCTTTCATGAGTTGGAATACTTCTTTCCAGCCCCTTCTTGCCTGTAAGGTCTCTTTTGAGAAATCAGCTGACAGTCTGATGGGAACTCCTTTGTAGGTGACTGTCCCCTTATGTCTTGCTGCTTCTAGAATTATCTCCTTCATTTTAATCTTGGCTAATGTAATTCTGATGTGCCTTGGTGTGTTCCTTCTTGGGTCCAACTTCTTTGGGACTCTGAGCTTCCTGGATTTCCTGGAAGTCTATTTCCTTTGCCAGAATGGGGAAGTTCTCCTTTATTATTTGTTCAGATAAGGTTTCCACTCGTGACTGTTCCTCTTCTTCTTCTAGTACTCCTATAATTTGGATGTTGGAATGTTTAAAGATGTCCTGAAGGTTCCTAAGCCTCTCATTTTTTTGAATTCTTGTTTCTTCATATTTTTCTGTTTAGTCATTTTTTTCTTCCTTCTGGTCTGCTCCCTTGATTTGAGTCCCAGTTTCCTTTCCATTATTATTGGTTTCTTGTACATTTCCATTCATTTCGATTAGTTTAGCCTTCATATGTTCCTCTAATTTGTGGCTAAAATCAACTAGTTCTGTGAGCATCCTGATCACCAGTGTTTTGAACTGTGCATCGGAAAATTTGGCTATTTCTTCATCACTTACATTTATTGGCTCTAGGGCTCTGAGTTGTTCTTGAGCCATGTTTTGATCTGTTTGTGCCTGTTACGTATGAGGAGATGCGCCTTAGGTGTTCACCAGGGCGGGGCCAGCCTGGTCACTGGTTTGTGACGCTGTATGTGGGGGCGGGGTCAGAGAAGGAGCAATGGCGGTCCTCTCTGCTCGCCCAGTCCACCTCACCGCTAGCCCCCGCCTGTTTATATGAGTGCAAATGTGCGAGCCCGCTGCCCTGCACCAAGGCCTGCTAGGTCTGTCTCAATACTCGTCTCTTCACTGGTTTATCTGTGGGCAAATACGAGACTGCAGACAGCCAGCCACGC